AATGTATGCAACACACACATGGCAGTGTGCGAAGGTCCACTCCCTCTATCATACATTCAGAGAAGGAATACATCACTCTCTAACAATGTAAGCAGCCATGTGTGTGAACATATTGCTTCTCTCTCTCTCTCTAACAATGTAAGCAGCCATGTGTGTGAACATATTGCTTCTCTCTCTCTCTACAGCAGGAGGCTGGCACGGTCATTGATCACGTCAGCACGGAGACGGAGACTCCACAGCGCAAGGACAAGGAAGCCCTGCGACGGAGGCTCAGCGACAGCGACAAGAAGGACGCGAAGGAGAAGGAGAGAGACCCTGAACTCGCAAAGGTTCGTCGGTCGGTCGGTCGATTGGGCGGGCAGTCGTAATCTTCTGGGGAGTTCCCTGTCGAAGTGTCTGAATTACTGTTTATATGTTACTGTTAATACTATGTACTGTTAATGCTGTACTGTTATAATGTTGTATGTTTAAATGGACTGAAAAAAAGGATCTGTTGTGCAACACCATAATCTCGTTGTGTGTTTTATAACGCATTATTCTGATGCACCTTAGCTGCACTGTCTACAAATATATATATATATATATATATCGTAAGTGTTTAAAATCTGACTGCTTTGTCGCAGTGCGAATGATGTATGAAGGTGGTTGGAGTCCCTGCTGTGGGAAAAACCGATGATTCCAATGCTTATATCATTGTATCGTCTTTTGTCACTCAGCCTCTTGTGAAGAAGTGGAAGGGAACGAAGTACAGAGTGTGGACACCGGGCCTGCTCACTCCTGAGACGAAGTACGATTCACCAACAGCTAAGGAAGTGGACGAGGTAGGAGACAGAGAGGGAGGGAGAGGGGAGACAGAGAGGGAGGGAGAGGGGAGACAGAGAGGAATTTGCAGTGGTTTAATTTTCGCGAATTTCGCAAACGCATCCTCGTCCGCGAAAATAACAACACGCGAATAATTCGTAATTCACCGACTGCAAAATTAACCACTCATGAAAGTGTCCTTAAAGTCTGACTTCGCGAAAATATCTGTACGCGAAAAATATGGCCTATACAGTATACTGACCAATCTACACCACATATGTTACACATTGACAACTTTAACAAAATCGACAAAATCAACAAAAAAACCAATGCGTTGAATACGCGTAGTTGCGAGTAGGTGGCGCTGTGTGCGCACGTTGCTCACTAACGCCCTCTATGTTTGACAGCTGCGCATCAAGCTGGGTACGATCATTAGACTACCGAAGGACAACCGACCGGAGGACAGACGTCGCTGCCTGCTGTGTAATATGGCCGGCGATGGCAAGAACAACGGTCCGGGCAGGTGAGAGGAGGGTTCACATGGAACTACGTTAGTGAGAGAGGGGTTCACCATGGAACTATGGTTGAGTGAGAGAGGGGTCACAATGAACTACGTTAGTGAGAGAGGGTTCCACATGGAACTAGCGTTAGTGAGAGAGGTTCACATGGACTACTTAGTGAGAGAGGGGTTCACATGGAACTACGTTAGTGAGCGGGGGGTTCACATGGAAACTACGTTAGTGAGAGAGGGGGTTCACATGGAACTAGCGTTAGTGAAGAGGGGGGTTTGCATCATGGAACTACGTGTAGTGAAGAGGGGGTCACATGGAGACTACGTTAGTTGAGAGAGGGTTCACATGGAAAACGCTTTAAAAACGTTAGTGAGAGGGTGGGTTCACAATGGAACTACGTTAGTGAGAGAGGGGTCACATCGGGAACTGTACGTTAAGTGAGAGAGGGGTTCACATGGAACTACGTTAGTGAGAGCGGGTTTACATGGGAACTACGTTAGTGAGACGAGGGGTTTTCACAATGGAAGCTACGTTAGTGAGAGAGGGCTATCCACCATGGAACCCTACGCTTAGTCGAGAGGGTTCACCATGACAACTACCGTTAGTGAGCCAAGACGGGATCTCACCATGGAACTCACGTTTAGTGAGAGACGGTTACAATGAACTCGTTAGTGGAAGGAGGGTTCACATTGGAATCTACGTAGTGAGACGAGGGTTCACACTAGAGACTACGTTAGTGAGCAGAGGGTTCACATGGAACTACGTTAGTGCAGAGGAGGGGTTCACATGGAACTACGTTAGTGAGAGGGGGGTTCAAATGGAACTACGTTAGTGAGAGAGGGTTCACGGATGGAACCTACGTTAGTGAGAGAGGGTTCACCATGGACCTACGTTCGTGAGCAGCGGGTTCCACATGGAACGTTACGTTAGTGAGAGAGGGGTTCACATGGAACTAGACGTTAGGTGAGAGAGGGGGTTAGCATGGAACTTACGTTAGTGGAGAGGAGGGTTCACCATGAACTGACGTTAGTGAGAGAGGGAATTTCACATGGACACTAACGTTAGTGAGAGAGGGGTTCACGATGAACTACGTTAGTGAGAGGGGGGTTCACCATGGACTAGGTTTAGTGAGGAAGAGGGGTTCACATGAAGCTACGTTAGTGAGAGAGGGGTTCACAGATGGAACTACGTTAAGTAGAGAGAGGGGGTTCACATGGAACTAAACGTTAGTGAGAGGCGGGGTTCACATGGAACTACGTTAGTGAGATGAGGGGTTCACATGGTAACTACGTTATGGAGAGGGGTTCACTATGGACTAGCGTTTAGTGAGAAGAAGGTGGTCACATGGACTTACGTTAGTGAGAGAGGGCGGTTGACATGGAACTACGTTAGTGAGAGAGGGGCTTTTCACGATGGCACTACGTTAGTGAGAGAGGGGTCACATGAACTAGCTACGTAGTGAGAGGGGGGTTCACATGGAACTGACCGTTAGTGAGAGAGGGGTTCACATGGAACTCACTGTTAGTGGGGAGGGGGTTCAGCATGGAACTACGTTAGTGAGAGAGGGGTTCACACTGGAACCTACGTTAGTGAGAGGGTGGTTTCACATGGAACCATACGTTTAGTGAGAGAGGGGTTCACTATGGAACTACGTTAGTGAGAGGGGGTTTTAGCATGGACTACGTTAGTGAGAGGGTGGTTCACATGGAAACTCGTTAGTGGAGGAGGGTTCAGCATGGAACTTACGTTAGTGAGAGAGGGGTTTCACATGAAGCTACGCTTAGTTGAAGCGGGGGGTTCAGCATGGATACGTTAGTGAGAGAGGGGTTCAGCATGGGAACTACGTTAGTGAGAGAGGGGTTCACGGATGGAACCTTATGTTAGTGAAAGAGGCGGTTCATCATTGGAACTACGTTAGTAAAGAGGACGGGTTCACAATGGAACTATGTAGTGAGAGAGGGTTCACAGGATGGGACTACCGTGTGTAAGTGAGAGGAGAGGGTTCACAGCGTGGAACTACGTTAGTGAGATATAGGGTTCACATGGAACTAACGTTAGTGAGAGAGGGTTCCAAATGGAAGCTACGTAGTGAGAAGGGGGTTCACATAGAACTACGTTAGTGAGCGAGGGGTTACATGGGAACTATGTTAGTGAGAGGAGGGTTCACCGATGGAACTATTTTAGTGAAGCAGATGGGTTCACATGGAAACTATGTTAGTGAGAGAAAGGGTTCACATGGAACTACGTTAAGTGAGAGAGGGGTTCACATGGAAATATGCTTACGTGAAGAGGGTTCACATGGAACTATTGTTAGTGAGTAGGAGGGGTTCACATGGAACTATGTTAGTGAGAGACGGGGTTTCACGCATGGAACTCATGTTAGTGAGAGGGGGGTTCACCATGGAACTTACGTTAGTGGAGAGAAGGGGTTCCACATGAACTACGTTAGTGACGCAGATGGGGTTTCACATGGAACTACGTTAGTGAGAGAGGGGTCAATGGAACTACGTTAGTGAGAGGCGGTTCACGAATGGAACTACGTTTAGTGAGAGGAGGGTTCACAGGTGGAACTACGTTAGTGAGAGAGGGGTTCACATGGAACTACGTTAGTGAGAGGGGGTTCACATGAATACGTTAGTGAGAGAAGGGGGGTTTCACATGGACTACCGTTAGTGCAGAGGGGGGTTCACATGGAACTCACGTTAGTGAGAGAGGGGTTCACGATGGAACTATGTTAGTGAGAGGAGGGTTTCACGATGGAAGCTATGTTAGTGAGAGAAGGGGTTCCATGGAAACTATGTTAGTGAGAGAGGGGTTCACGATGGAAGCTAGGTTAGTGAGAGAGGGGTTGCACATGAACTAATGCTTAGTGAGAGAGGGGTATCACTATGGAACTATGTTAGTGAGAGGAGGGTTCACATGGAACTATGTTAGTGAGGAGAGGGGTTTCACATGGAACTATGTTAGTGAGAGGGGGGTTCACATGGAACTACGTTAGTGAGCAGAGGGGTTCACACATGAACCTACGTTAGTGAGAGCAGGGGTTCAACATGGAAGCTACGTTAGTGAGAGAGGGTTCACATGGGACTACGTTAGTGAGAGAGGGGTCCACGGTGGAACTATGTTAGTGAGAGGAGGGTCACATGGAACTACGTTAGTGAGAGGGGGGTTCACATGGAAGCTACGTTAGTGAGAGGAGGGTTGACACTGATGGAACTACGTTAGTGAGGGGGGTTCACGATGGAAGCTCGTTAGTGAGAGAGGGGTTCAGCGGATGGAACTACGTTTAGTCGAGAGAGGGGTTCACATCGGACACTATTTTGAGTGAGAGGAAGGGTTCCATGGAACTAACGTTTAGTGAAGGGGGTTCACATGAACTACGTCTAGTGAGAGAGGGGTTCACATGGAATAACGTTAGTGAGAGAGAGGGTTAGCATGGAACTATGTAAATAGTGAGAGGAGGGTTCACATGGAACTACGTTAGTGAGAGGGGGTTCACATGGAAACTACGTTAGTGAGAGGGGGGTTCACATGGAACTATGTTAGTGGAGGGGGTTTCAAGCATGGAACTACCGTTAGTGAGAGAGGGGTTCACATGAACTACGTTAGTGAGAGAGCGGTTCACATGGAACTCTACGTTAGTGAGAGAGGGTTCATCATGGGCTACGTTAGTGAGAGGGGGGGTTTACATGGCAAACTACGGTTGTGAGAAGAGGGGTTCACGTATGGAACTGACGTTAGTGAAGAGGGGGTTCACATGTAACTCACGTTAGTTGAGAGGAGGGTTCACATGGAACTGACGTTAGTAGAGAAGGGGTTCAATGGAACTAAGCGTGTAGTGAGAGAGGGGTTCACGATGGAAGTTTGTGTTTTTTTGTTTTTTTTACAAATTTTCTACGTTAGTGAGAGGAGTGGTTCACATGGAACTCACGTTAGTGAGAGGGGGGTTACAATGGAACTACGCTTAGTGAGAGGAGGGGTTCACATGGAAACTAAACGTTAGTGAGTGGAGGGGGTTCAGCAATGGAACTCACGTTAGTGAGAGATGGGGGTTTGGGTCACATGAACTACGTTAGTGAGAGAAGGGGTTCACATGGAACTACCGTTAGTGGAGAGGGGTTCACATGGAACTACGTTAGTGAGAGGAGGTTCACCATGGAAGCTACGTAGTGAGAGGGGGGTCTCAACAGTGGAAGCTAACGTTAGTGAGAGGGGGTTTCACATGGAACTACGTTAGTGAGAGAGGCGGCTCATGGAACTAACGTTAGCTGACAGCAGGAGGGTCTACATGGAACTACGTTAGTGAGCAGAGGGTTCACCATGGAACTACATTAGTGAGAGAGGGGTTTCAACATGGAACTACGTTAGTGGGAGAGGAGGGTTCACATGGAACTACGTTAGTGAGAGGGGTTCACATGGAACTACGTTAGTGAGAGAGGGGGTTCACATGGAACTACGTTAGTCGAGAGAGGGTTCGACCATTGAACTACGTTAGTGAGAGAGGGGGTTCAGTGCATGGAATCTAACGTTAGTTCGAGAGGAGGGTTCACGATGGCAACTAGCGTTAGTGAAGAGAGGGGTTCACATGGACTAACGTTAGTGAGAGGAGCGGTTCACATGGAACTACACGTTTTAGTTTGAGAGGGGGGTTCACGATGGAAGTACAGTTAGTGCAGAGAGGGGTTTTCAACATGGAACTACGGTTTAGTGGAGAGAGGGTTCCACATGGAACTACGTTAGTGGAGAGAGGGGTTCAGCATGGAACTACGTTAGTGAGAGGGGGTTCACGATGGAACTACGTTAGTGCAGAGTGGGGTTCACATGGAAGCTACGTTAGTTGAGAGAGGGTTTCAACATGGAACTACGTTAGTGAGGAGGAGGGTTTCACATGGACTACGTTAGTGCGAGAGAGGGGTTTCACATGGAACTAGGTTAGTGAGAGGGGGGTTCACATGAACTACGTTAGTGAGAGAGGCGGGTTCACATGGAAACTATGTTGGTGAAGAGGGTTCACATGAACTACGTTTTAGTGAGAGGGGGGTTCACTGGAACTACGTTAGTGAGATTTATGGGGAGTTTCATGCGTTGCGTTTCACCTGTGTGTGCCCATGTGTATGTGTGGGGTGGTTGGGACAAGATTAGTCTTAACATTAGTCTTAAGTGACTTTTTCTCGTTGACAGTACGTATAGGGACGTTTATACCTAAACATCCATGTTTAGCTAGAGGGGCGATACACTATTTTCATCACACGTCTACGTTATGAGTTCTTTATTTGTCATTAAAAAGTGTCCGAGGGGAAGTTTACGCGGTCAAACATACAGCAATGATGTCGCACAGCAAGACATACGTAGACGCTAGGCGAAGAGAAGGCGCACTACTCTGCTGCTGGTCGTTGAATCAGTTGCTCCAAGGAAAGTGAGGCGATGAAATGTCCACATCGCGTGCGGCGGTTAATAACCGCCGTGCATCTCTCGCCCGCTTGCAGAGCTGCTGAAGCTGTCGACGTCGAATAAGTGGGTACAACTCTGAACGTGCATCCTGTGGTCGAGGACGTTTAGCGAGACGCTGAACGATGGCTCATGAACGTCAGACGTGGCGTTCAAGCGTCGCCCGTTCCGCGGGCCAGTGCGCACGTGCGGCGAGCCCGGAGGCCACACTGGCAGTGCACCAGGTGCGGCTGCAAACGAAGGTCTTAGCCACTTCAACTGCGCGCTGAAGAACGGATGCAGTGTTTTCAATGGATAAGGTGAGGTGGTCGTCGGTGGTGGGCGGGGGTGGATGGGAGGGTCGGTGGTGGGCGGGGGTGGGTGAATGGGAGGGTCGGTGGTGGGCGGGGGTGGGTGGACGGGATAACACCATCTCTACCCTCCACCACCGACGCTCCCATCCACCCACCCCCGCCCACCACCGACCCTCCCATCCACCCACCCCCGCCCACCACCGGATTAGCTGAAGGAAAGCAGTTTGTGTGTTTGTGTGCGTGCGTACGTGCGTGTGCATGTGTGTGCATGCATGTACGTGTACGTGTGCGTGTCTGTAATGAAGCTGATATATACATATATATATATATATACATATGCATTTATAAAAGCTGCTGATCTGTCTATCTGCCATTTGTGTCCACCTATAATAATATATAATGATCACCTCTCATCATGTGTTACTGTCATCGTTACAGACGATTATGTGTCCGATGCACAAGCCTAAGGTGGGAGATGAGAATCAGCTGATGAACGTTGCAGTCTTCCGCCGTGTCTACATCAATCGCGACGAGAATCGCCAGATCGCCAGGTACGCGCAGCGCCCCCTACCCTGTTGCTGCGTACGCGCGGCGCCCCCTACCTGCCACTGTTCTGCGCGTGTATGTGTAGATGTGTCGTGTCTAGACATTTTGTACTGTTCTGCTTTCGCGATGCTTTCATTGAATTTCAAGAACTTACTTTCTTAACGTATTAATGGCCCATCAGCAAAATATGATCGAACCTTCATCACTGTTGTATTGAACATTGTCATCATTGTAATCTCCATTGTTAACAGTAATAATAGTCTGTAATAATATTCTATGTTGTTATATTAACTGTCTCTTCGCTGAGGTTACGTCGGTAGATGTTGTTATGTAATGAATCACCGTGCGTGTGTGTGTATCTTACAGCATACAGTTTCGTAATGATTCACCGTGTGTGTGTGTATGTTACAGCATGATGCAGCAGGGCTACATGCACTACTGCCTGCGCGTCGGCAGTCTAGTCTTTCAGAACGTCGGCCAGGTGCTGCCTCACCAGCTGGCAGCGTTCCACACNGTTAGTGAGAGAGGGGTTCACATGGAACGGCCAAGGCGGATGTACGGTGAGAGAGGGTTCACATGGAACTACGTTAGTGAGAGAGGGTTCACATGGAACTACGTTAGTGAGAGAGGGTTCACATGGAACTACGTTAGTGAGAGGGGGGTTCACATGGAACTACGTTAGTGAGAGGGGGGTTCACATGGAACTACGTTAGTGAGAGAGGGTTCACATGGAACTACGTTAGTGAGAGAGGGGTTCACATGGAACTACGTTAGTGAGAGAGGGGTTCACATGGAACTACGTTAGTGAGAGAGGGGTTCACATGGAAC